TATATATATATATATATATATTCATATGCATACTTATATAGTTGTATACTTTTTGCCTTTCTAATAAAAAACTTAAGTTAATATGGTGTTCACAACATATAAAAATGCAACAAAAATTTCCTCTATTGTAATTTTTCTATTTTTAGTTTTTCCTTGTTTTTCTTAGGAAGATGAGCAATATTTAATTAGCCCTATTATTTGTATATAAAGATATCTTTCAATATTAATTTTATAAACCTAGGACAAGATTTTAATTGACACCAATCAAATAATCATATTTCTTCTTACTATCAGGTTAAAATTCGAAAGTTCAGTTAGACATATATCTATAGATAATGCATATATATAGACATATATGTATATACATACATATATACATATATACATATATACATACATGTATATACATATCTATATATATAATAATAATAATAATAATAAAGGAATATATGTAATAATATGTATTAAAAAATGAGAAGTGCATCATAAAAAATTCATAATGGTATATATATATATATCTACAGGGTGTTGAAATCATGGATGAGAGTTATTTCATCACAGAAGCAAACGTAAGCATGTTAAAGCTAGCCAAGCAAGCAAACTCGATTCTGGTAATTAATTAATACTCCTTAATTTATCTTCCTCTCTTTATTTAATTACTTATAACAATACTAATATCATTTTCAATAAAAATTCACCAACCTTCTTAACAGTAATTATTGTCTTATTTATCAGTATGACTACAAAGTTCCCGACACATTTGGCGTTAGCGCCGTGCTCATGAACGGCCTTCCAATCGCCATATATGCTCCAGAGACTGTGGGTTGCACGGCCGTAGATAAATACGGGCGATGTGCGGCTGCAACGTCAACCGGTGGGCTGATGAATAAGATAAACGGGCGAATCGGTGACTCGCCGTTGATCGGGTCAGGAACTTACGCATGTAGAGACTGTGCCGTGTCATGCACAGGTAATTGAAATTTAAATTAATTTGCCCAATTTATTCAATATTTTAACCAAAAATATTTACCTTCGCTCTTACAATACAATTTATTTGCTATTGTTGAGAAAATACTTGATTCAGCCATTACTGAATTCACAGGAGAAGGAGAGGCAATAATTCGAGCGACACTGGCTAGAGATGTGGCCGCCCTTATGGAATACAAGGGAATGGGCTTGAAGGAGGCCGTGGATTGTGCCATTAAGGAGAAGTTGGACAAGGGCTTTGCGGGCTTGATAGCTGTTTCAGCTAAAGGGGAAGTGGCTTATGGATTTAATACTTCGGGAATGTTTCGGGCTTGTGCTGATGAGGATGGTTTCATGGAAGTTGCTATTTGGGAGTAAGAGATTAAATACTTACTTCTATGGAATTTATTACTTTTCATCATCATTCATCCAATATATAAATGTTTGTATTACTTTAATAAAGTCAAAAGAAAAAAAATTTGCGGAAGATAACTTGACAATGTTCTGATCAAGATGGGCTTGAGAGATGTATACTAAATTTGTTTTGAGATTGGGGTAAAACATTTGTATTATAAAGATAGCACTAATCTCAAAGCAAAATATGTTACTTAAAGACTCATCTTAATCAAACTTATATCTGGGTATTTCTGCATAATTTTTCTTAATGATCATAAGTTATTCTATCAATGATAGTGATTTATGATTAAAAATAAGTATTTTGACATAAGAATATGGATGGATGATGATAATTGATAAATTCTAAATTATGGCAATTTCTTATAGGTTGTGTGAAGATATAAATAATGAATTAGAAAGACTATAAGGTCTTTCCCTTTGAGTTTGTGTGTTTATATAAGTCTTTATCATTGATAGAGACTTATATTCGAAAGAAATGTCGGTCTTATTTTGTGAGGAGCAATGGAGATGAGAAAGAAATCTTTCTTTGGAACTTGTCTGAGGAATTCTTTTCTAATCCATATATAAGTGTGATCAATATTACTAAGTTTAACTTCAAACTAAGGAAATTTCTTTAATATACTGCTCATGAACTTGTAGTTGGTGTTCAATAATTTTCTCTTTAAGAATATAAAAAAAATATTAATTAATTTGATGGTTCTTTATTGTTCTACTTACTGATCATTTGGGATCACAATATTCTTTTTTTATATAAAATAAAAAATTGATTGCTATTTTGAAAATTTATTTATTTTCAATTCTGAATATTTTATAGGGAAATTTGATCTAAAGCCCTTGAACGAACTTTCACTTATTTATTAGTTATATTTTTTAGTCTTTGTTAGTCATTTTCTAGTAATATATTTATTTTTCAATCCAATATTGTTTTTTTTTAATTTATGGAATCCCTCAATTATTTTAGTAAAATATATTATTAAAAGTTAGATCCTATTATAATTACACGAATTTTGAAATTTTTTCACTTTAATAATCCCTTAACAATATTTACATTATTAAGAAATTACACATAGCTTTTATTGGCATAAAATAATATCCACAAATATAAAATTAATAACAAAACTATGTTAAGCTAACTATTTAGTTTTATCCATAAAAATAAATAAAAATTAAATAATTCTTTTACAAATTAGAGTCAAAATAACTCCAAAATTTTAATAGACTAGTTCCACTTAGTGGCAAAGAACTAACAAATGAAAAGTTAAGCATGTGTTATAATCATGTCATAGGGACCATCAACAATTTAAAATGAACAATATATATTAACAAAATTGTTGATCCAAAAACAATATGGGAGAATAAATATAATTTAAACACATAAAGTGGCAACTAAAGATATTATTAAAATACCGAGAAAAAGAGATTATATATATATATATATATATATATATATATATATATATATACATGGAATTAGATTTTAAACTTCCAGACTATCTCTGGTTTTTTCCTTAATACTTCTGAAGGTGCTTGCTACTGTTCAAAAAATATTAATGTTTCTAAAAGGAATTGGATCATAGATTTTATTGCTTGTAATAAAGCTTCTTTACCTTTACTTATCTGGGTTTTCATTTAGATAAAGGTAAGGAGAAGAGTGCTTTATTTTTTAGTTTGTTTGACAAAATTAAAAATAAGATATTATCCTGGGAAAATAAATTTATTTCTTTTGGTGGCAGGGTGACTCTACTTAAAAGTGTTCTAACTTCTCTCCCTTTTTATACTCTTCAAGTTAAAAATATGCCTTTGAATGTTATTAAGAGGATTGAAAATATTTTTAATAAATTTCTGTGGGAAGGTAAAGGTCATTCCAGATTTCACTGGAAATGTTGGAATAAGCTTTGTAAACCTACATAAAATGGAGGACTTGGCTTTAGAAGCTTAAATGATTCTATTAAAATCAATTATATGAAATTATGATATCATTTTCGTCAGAATAATTCCATTTGGGCTTCTTTGATGCATGCCAAGTATTGCTTTAACAAGAATCCTTTAACTATTACCTATAAGAAAAGTGATTCTTTTATTTGGTGTGAAATGCTCAAGGTTGCTAGAAATACTGAAGATATGATTTGTTGGGACATTGGTAAAGGTGATTGCTTTTTCTGATATGATGATTGGTTGGGCAAAGGTGCTCTTGCAGACTTTTACGGTGGCTCTGAGAATATTAATATCAAGATTAATGACCTTTGGTTTGAAAATCAGTGGTGTTTTAGAAAACTTTTGCAAAAGGTTAATTATGATGATGCTAATTTTATTGCTTTTATTCCTATCGATATTACTAAGCCTAATGTGCCAAAAATTAAAGGCAAATTGGGTGATTATTATGCTAAATGTTTTGAAAATTCCTTTCAATTTTTGCAAGGTTTAAATCTTAAATGGAATTGGAATATTTGGATTAAACCTTCCATCTCCCTTTTTATTTGGATAGTTTTTCATAATATCATTCTTAGTGATGATATTCTTAAGATGAAATGTTTAAGATTGCCTTCTTATTGTGTTTTGTGTCATGATAATGAGGAATCAGTTGAACATCTTTTTCTTAAATGTCATTTTACTATTGATGTTTGGAATGATATTACACAAAAATTGCAGTTAAACAGTTTTCACAGAAATCTGATATAGTATAGTAGCATTTCTGAGATTTTTCAATGCTTGGAAGCTGCTCGGTAAATGTATTTTTACTGCTATACCTGCTGTATAAGTTGGTTTATATGGATTGCTAGAAATGATTGTAATTTAAAAAATATTGTTCCCAAGGTGCATAAAACTGTTAGTTTGGTATTGAAATATTTATATAAAGAATTAAAGTTTTTGCCCAATAACACTATACTTTTTGGAAATATGAAACGTTTAAGACAATCTTCTGGATATTCTAGTTATGTGCATATTAAATTTAATGATAACGTTAAATGGCATAAATCGTGGATGCCCTTTATTAAGATTAACGTTGATGGTTGTTGGAATCCCTTATCTGCTAGTGTAGGAGGAGTTTGTCGAGACCATTTAGGTTCTATTCTTTATTGGTTCTCGGCAGGTGCGTTTTCTGATTCCCCTTTGGCAGCTAAAGCTGATGCTTTTATCTATGATCTGCAGATGACTATCAATTATGATTAGAAATTTATTATTATGGAAATTGATTCTATGATTATTTGAAGTTTTATCAATTGCAACAAGATTATCATTGGAATATCAATATTCAAATGAAAAGGATTTTTGCTCTTTCCAAGAACTTATTTATTGTTTGGTCTCATACCAAGCGAGAAGGTAATAAGGCTGCTCACTGGGCTGCTAAATGGGGTTTGAAGATGCGGGGTGCTACAGTCTCAAACATTATTCCTTATAATCTGATGCTTTTAGCCTTAAAGGATGATGAATAGTTTGGTGGTTATTTGGTTGCTCTTAGTTATGTTGTTTTCTATTTTGGTTTTTCTTTGATTCATTTTTTGTGGCTTTGATTGTCTGATATTTTGTGTGTTGAGTCTTGTTGTGTTTTGGTGTGGGTGAGTTGTATTTTTTCTTTTTTGGAGAAATGCCCTTTTTATTTTCTTTATGTATTTGTAGGGTGTGTGTGTTGGGACGTCTTTCTCGGGCTTGTATATTTTTTCTTATGTAATAAAAAAAATATAACCATGTTTTGCTTTAATATATATATA